GGTTCTATTTTTCAGTGTAGAAATACGCAGGTGTATACTTAGATCAGAAGGGTTGAAACAAATGCCTCGGAGACATTTCAGTAACAGAGACGACCTAGCCAAATTGCCTCTTCGGCCGGGGTCATGTGGGAAAACGCTCTTTGGACCCAAGTGTGTTAATGAAACAAGAACAGCCAGAACAGCAGGTCCGTAAACATCCTGATGACAATGGGGAACACACAGCTGGGCTGAGACCAGATCAGTTCAAGCAAACGTGCTCGTGCTTTTTGATCCAAGTCGTGGATGAACGGATGCAGGAGAGGCAGCAGCTGCTACGCAGCTGGACTCGGGAGGCATGTGATGGCGTGACTTGCAAATCACGCTTGAAAAATTCATTCTCCTGAGCTTGGATGTGAACACAGTCACATGGGCCCCCAATCAGCTCACACACGGCAGCCACGAGGGAGGCAGAAATGCAACCGGGCTGACGAGAAGCATTAGCCCCCACTTCAGGCTGGCCAGGGCTGTCTTTCAAGGAAGGAACTGTCCAGGAAATGCACTATATTTGGAAATGACCCTAAATTTAGAGTAATTTGAATGATGGACTGGCTTGAACAGACAGAGAAAGTTTGACTGAGAGATGCTTAAATGTATTCCCTTAAGCGTGGAAGGCATTTGTGGAGTATTTATCAGAGGTTCTGAAATGAAAGGCATTTCTGAGTCCTTCTGTTGGTCCAGCACCTGGGGTTTGCAAAGAGTCTCACACTAACTTTCACTTCACAGATGAGGAAATGAGGCTCAGGCAGATCAAGCAAACGCTGAATGTGTGTGTGGGTATGCACACAGTTATATGTACACCCCAGGAATATACACGCTGCATTATACACACAGCTGACCTGGGAACAACATGATTTTGAACTATGCAAGTCCAATTACATGTGTTTTCTTTCAATAAATATATTGGAGCATTTTTTGGAGATTTGCAAGAATTTGAACAAATTCACAGACAAACTGAATAGCCTAGAAGGATCAAAAAAAAAAAAAAAGAAAAACTATGTCATGAATGCATAATATGTATCTAGATACTAGTCTGTCCTTATATAGGCACCAGATGAGTGATAGTTAAAATAAAATTGATAATGTTCTAATTTTCTTATGGTTTTTTAACTTTGCTGTCAAATAATTAAACTACTGTACATATGCCTCTCTGGAGAAAAGTGAACATTAGCCTATCATCATGGGTAACTGTAACAATGTTTTTAGTACATTGAAATATGACTGTATGAATATGACTGTAACACTGTATGTCATACAAATTTTATAATGATTCAGTTGTTAGTGTACAGGCCAGGCTGCCATGAAGCAAACATACTACTACTTCTTTGTTATCAATGCGTGAATCATGATACCTGTAAACAGACATGAACTTCTTATTCATATTATCTTTTCACTTTGATGTCTGGTGTTAATAATACATATGACATCTACAGTGTTTTGAACTGTTTAAGTCAATACTGATGCGGGTAGTGACAGATGATTCATCTTGTAACGCTATCAGAAAGACAACACAGCCCTGTAGATGGATTTTCCCTTCCTATGATTCTATTAATAACATTTCATTTTCTCTAATTTACTTTAAGAATACAGTATATATATATATATATATATATATATGTATATAACAAATACAAAATATGTGTTAGTTGACTCTTCATATTTTTGGTGAGGCTTCCTGTCAACAGTAGACTATTAGTAATTAAGTTTTGGGGGAGTCAAAAGTTATACACAGGTTTTGGGATGGTTGGGACCCCTAAAATTCACATTGTTTGAGGCACAACTGTATTTACATCTCCTATAGGGAGATACCCCTCATCCAAGTTAAGGAGCAGCAGCTGCCCTTTGATGGAGCAGCCGTGAAGAGATACCCCACATCCAAGGTAACTAGCCAATCTGATCACATGGACCACAGTCTTGTCTAACTCAATGAAACTAAGCCATGCCGTGTGGGGTCACCCAAGACGGACAGGCCATGGTGGAGAGGTCTGACAGAATGTGGTCCACTGGAGAAGGGAATGGCAAATCACTTCAGTATTCTTGCCTTGAGAACCCCATGAACAGTATGAGAAGCCAACATGATAGGATACTGAAAGAGGAACTCCCCAGGTCATAATATGCTACTGGAGATCAGTGGAGAAATAACTCCAGAAAGAATGAAGGGATGGAGCCAAAGCAAAAACAATACCCAGTTGTGGATGAGACTGGTGATAGAAACAAGGTACAATGCTGTAAAGAGCAATATTGCATAGGCACCTGGAATGTTAGGTCCATGAATCAAGGCAAATTGGAAGTGGTCAAACAGGAGATGACAAGAGTGAACATCAACATTCTAGGAATCAGCAAACTAAAATGGACTGGAATGGTTGAATTTAACTCAGATGACCATTGTATCTACTACTGTGGGCAGGAATGCCTTAGAAGAAATGGAGTAGCCATCATGGTCAACAAGAGAGTCCAAAATGCAGTACTTGGATGAAATCTCAAAAATGACAGAATGATCTTTGTTCGTTTCCAAGGCAAACCATTCAATATCACGGTACTCCAAGCCTATGCCCCAACCAGTAACACTGAAGAAGCTGAAGTTGAATGGTTCTATGAAGACCTACAAGACCTTTTAGAACTAACACCCAAAAAAGATGTCCTTTTCATTATAGGGGACTGGA